TGAGCTCTTGTATGGTAGATGTTCCCTGGGGCACCTAGGTATGGCAAAATGTAAGCAAGAGGCTACACATCACAAAAAGTGTAATCTAACACATTGCTAAGATGCAAGATATAATAACATAGTAACCGATCCCCTGTAAATTTTAAAAAGAATTTGTAATGGTATAATAATGGTGGTGTTCGATTGGAAAAAAAAGATTCCATGCACTTAGGTTGTAGTAGCCGGTCCAATCATCTTTCTGTTAAAATGCTAATAATAGCAAAGTTTGTGTTGCTAGCCAATTAATATCTAGTAGCAAAAAGCATAATCTAACACATTGCTAAAACACAAGATATTATATCTGTAGCAGAATGGCTCAGAGAGCCTGGGGGCGATACTCCTACTGTGTGTGTACAGTCCGATATGATCTATCAGTGATCCTGAGCACATCACAGCACAGCTCCTCCTGGCTCTCTCCTCTCCACCATTTCTCCTCACTGCTCCAGGCTATCCCCTTATCCTGGCTCTGAGTGCGGTGGGGTGGAGGAAGGAGCTCCGCAGCCAACCAGAAACAGGGCACCCTCTCGATCCGGCCAGGTCTGTTTCCCCCTCCAGCAGCAGAAAGCCTGTGGAAGGGAGAGCTACACGAGGCATCATTCTGCAATTGCTGTCCCCCCGATCCTCCTGCTATCTGGGCCCCCCTGTGTGCCCAGGCCCCCTACAGGAGTACCGGTGGTACACCCTGATGGCGGCCCTGAGAATGATTCAGGAACAGGAAGCTACATACATACAAATCTGCACCCATCGTGTGTATAAAGTCTAAATACCACTAAATGTAAAATGTTATTTCAGATAAAATGGTTTAATACAATATTCACAATTGTGTAAAATCCCTTTTTTATTTGAACAGAAAAATAAGACACGTGGGATTCAACTATTTAGCCTTTGTTTGGCTGCTAATTTAGAATAAAATAAATTTTAAAAGGACTATTGGCAGTATTTTCCAGTTTCTGAGATTACTTAATAGGAAGTCAGCTGCATTTTGAAAACTATTTTCAATGCATTCCCTGCATTAAGTTAAAAATGTTTGGGAAGTAATGTTGCCCCCCCCTCACCTCCCTTATACTTTCCTGAGTCTTCATTCATTCCATCTATAGTCGCTCTCACAGGTTCAAATCCCCTGTGAAATCTTCTGGTGAAGGAGCAGGGGGCAGGGCCAAACCACTTTGTGTCTATGGATGCAGGCAGTGCGGCTCAGGATTGAGCCCGTGGGTGTACCGCAACAGAAAGTGGCTTGCTATGGTGGCACACCGAGAAGTGGAGGAGCCAGGAGAGCTAGCGAGGGACCCCAGAAGAGGAAGATCGGTGCTACTCTGTGCAATTCTGTTGCACAGAGCAGGTATGCATAATATGTTTAAAAATAAAATAAATAAAATTTTTTCACAAAGTTGAAACCTGGAGATCGGCTTTAATTTTAAATTCACCTAATTATAAATGTCATAATTATAAATAACTATTAGCAACTGGTGTTTGCAAACAAAAATTGTAGTAATACTTTTAAGCTGTGAGCTGACTTTGAAATTGTGTGACTTCAAGTGAAGTTTCATGATTGCAAAGTTGCATGGCAGTGCGACTTCAGGTGCGACCTGGAAGACCTCTGTGCAACTTCATGCACAGATGTCCATGAAAGTTGCACCTGAAATTGCAAAAAAAGTAGTGCAGGACTACTTTCAAAATCGGTGGGTCTCCAACTGTGTTGGAGTTGTACCGATTTAAACAGTTCAATTGTGGACAATAGGGTGCGACAAGTTGCACCGGTGTGAACCATGGCTAATATCTAATTTTTGTGCTGTAAGTAAACTTTATTTTACAATTAAGACTGTCAACAACTTAAAATAGTAGTTAAAAGCAGAAAAAAGGAAATTTTAAAGTGGTAGTAAACCACAGTTTAGGAAAAAAATCCCCTGCAAGCAGGGGCGGACTGACAACTCATGGGGCCTCCGGGCAATAGGGGATCATGTGTACTTGCCCAAACTCAAAAAAAGCCTATGAAAAAGGTACCAGGGGGGCATCTCTTGGGGCCCCCTACTGACCCCAGGCCCTTGGGAAGTGGCCGAGTTTCCAAATAGTCAGTCTGCCCCTGCCTGCAAGGTAATGCCATAATGTGCTAGTAAGCATCACATACTAGCACATTATGAAGGACTTGCCTTAAAACAAAGCCTTCCAGTGGTGCACTGTCATCACTGTAGAGGCTTCCATCTTCACCCCGGTCTTCTTACTGCGATGGCGAGCTCCGGCCGTCTGGCCGAGCTGTGGTGACATCACTCATGCATATAAAAGGCCTGGGCCATGGCAAAGTGCTTTTAAGGAACGGCATGAATATACCATTCCTTCAGAGCGCATGCGCCAGCTCTCAAAAAAGGGCAAATATCTCTTAAACGGTGCACTTTCAAGAGATATTTATTTTAAAAGTATAAACAAAGCGTTTACTGCCACTTTAAAATGTTTACTTTTCCATGTTTTTCTTTTTCATTTGCAATGTGCCATCCAAAAACAGTGTAGAAAATGCTGCCTACTCCAGGAAAATTTCCGGAAATGTATTCATTTTGTCCATAAAATCTCTGTAGGCAGTAGCTTGTCTGTGGTCATCTTGTGTCACCCCCCCCCCCCCCCCCCCCTATCCCCCTTCCCTTTTTCCCTTCTTTATTGTTCTTTTGAGGAACTGCTGCCTTTCCCTGTATCTTGGTGACTTTTGGAACACATGACCACTCATTTAATTATAGTTCATTGCCACAATAATGTTTCATCAATGACCTGCCAACCATACAGCCTACATACTGGTACATAGAGGAACAGTGGTCACATTTCCCAGTACTCTACCCTCATATTCTGTGTTTTCAGTGAATCATAGACTCATGCAGTTACGGTTTCTATGTCTGGAGAGTTGAATCAAGTAGCAAAAAAGCTAGTACATAAGGAAATAAGCTAAAGCATTAAAAGGATTGTGAAGTGTTTAAGAATTTTTTTCTTGAACCAGTCCTTTGGGAGACTAACAGCTTGCCAGATTTTTAAAGCCCATCTCCAACTTGCATCTGAGTGACTGTAGTGGGGTCATTAAGCTGGCCATGCACAAATAGAATTTTGTCTCAAAAGTTTTTTTTTTTTGTTTTTTTGAATGCTTGTTCAATTTTCTGTTAGTAAATAAAATCAACACTTTGTTTTCGACCAGTGATGAGAAAATTGCCAGGAAGCAGATTAAAAAAAGTTTTTCTGACATGCTCAAAATTCTATCTGTAAATATGATTTTTATTTTGGGAAAAATTGTACATATTAAAATGCACATATCCTAGGCACAAAAGAAATCTGTTTAATATGTCTAGGATTCCATTCAAATAGCAGGTCAGGAGGAAATTTTAAGGACGAAATTAGCTGACTCAAGTTAGCAAGAAAGAATGCTCTGAACGATTTTTTAGACTTCCATAGGATCGGTCAAATTAAATTCTACTGGTATAAGGCCGTTTTTTAAGATTTAAAAGCTTGTTTGGGGTGGAAGGGGCTGATATGAAAGGACTTTGTCATAATTAAAGTATTGGGAAACATGATCACTGCATTAATATATGAAATAATCAGTTAATAATGCATTATAAATGTTAACGCAAAGCAACAAAGAAATTAATCTGTCTACAGGATGATATTTTGCGCAAACTGCAAATTTGATTATGCTGTCCAGCTATTTGTTGGAAGACTTGGGTGCAGTTTCTGATCAGATGTAGTTTGGAAGTGACACTCTGTTAGGCTCATTTACACTAGCGGTAGCCTTCTTAAGAGAAATGCATTTGAGTGGGTCATGTTCAGCAGGCAGTACTGATGGGGGTGGTGATTTTTGCATTGCAGCCATGGCATGTGTATACCTTGTACACCTGCCTTTGCAACTTGAGGGGAGGGGGGGGGGCAGTTGGAGGTTCAGTAAAAATGCAGCTTAACCACTTTTGTTTATCACTCACTCACCCCTTTCTCCCACTGCAAGTGTAAACTAGGCCATAATGCATGAAACTTAGTACCTATACAGGGCAAAAAAAAAGATTGAGCTAAATACCTTTTGCATAATAATCTTGCCATGTGTGGGGTACAAAAACTGTATTGGTATACTTCATGGGACTGAAAAAAGGGTTTAAGTGTTTTGCATTTTTTCCTGTGCCTTTCTCTGGTTTGCAGCAATTGCTCCTGACTTGAATTCCCGAACTTGGCACATATGCAATAATTGAATTTTTTTTTTTTTTTTTTTTTTTTTTTTTTCTATTTAAAAAAAAAAAAAAAAAAAAGATAAAAAATTGTTCATAGGAGTGGAGATGGTACAAAAAATACCTATAGGATGTTATTCTCAGATATCGCCTATAAGTTTCTTTTTAGCTGATTTCCCACTCTTCTTTTGTACCAATGCAAGAGGACTATAAAGAACACAAATATGGTTGTAGGATCTGTACATGCTTTTATACATTTTGGCAAAGTGTGTGTTTTTTTTTTTTTTTTTTTTTTGGTTTTGGTTTTGGTTTTGTTTTTGGTTTTGTTTTTTTGTTTGTTTTTTTCTTTTGCGAAGAGCTTCTGACCTTGACTACTGTCTACACGATTTATAGGCTCCTAAACTTTTTTCCAAAAACAGCATGTCCATTTTAGTTCGTTTAGAGCAGCTGAAAGTTCATTCTTCACACTTCATTGACCATAAGCTTGTGTGTGTGTGTGTGTGTGTGTATGTGTGTGTATGTATGTATATATATATATATATATATATATATATATATATAAGAATTTCAAAGTTTCACCTTTTTAACTCTTGTTGCCAGTCAGCATAATGCATCTACTTATAGAAGATCCCCTGAGCGTATCTGTTCCGTCTGCCTCACTAATGAGCAGCACAAGGGGTCTCTTCTGCAGGCAAGCTGTTGTCCTATGACAGTCAAAACTTTCTTCTGTTTTTCAGAACCGAGCTTTAATATGGCATTTCTTTTACAGGGGAGAAAAAGAAAACTAAAGCTATAGACAATGAACTCAACCCAGTATGGAAAGAGGTATGTTTGATTTTTATAGTGAGCTTACAATGTTACTTTACGTTTGTCGTGTGTGTGTGTGTGTTTTTTTGGCAATGTTGAATATTTATTTTTATGTATTCCATATATATTGTTTTATTCACGTACGCCCCTGCCCTCAAGGAGCTTACAATCTAAGGTTACATGCATGCACACACGGGCCGATAGAGAGAAGAGCCAATTAAGTGTGGGTGGAAAACTGGATTAGGAAGACCTCCCCTATATAACCCCACCCCTAGGGAAGCCTCAGTTTTGTGGTAAAACCCCCAAAATAGTCCCATAATGTGATTTTACAGTTAAGTACAAAAATCCAGTTTTCTTTTTCGTACATCATGAAAATGTACATCATGAGTACAGAGAAGGTTTAATAATTATGACCACCTGGGATGTCCAAATGCACTGCTTATGAGGGGAGGGAACACAACCACCGGCACCGGGCCCAAAGCTACACCACAGCCCTTGAGACACTGCTATCAAACGCAACATGTTCTTGTAAAGGTGTAAATAGACATTCAGGTAGCAGCCTTGCATACCTGTTTCTGCTGAGGTGTGATGATAAATAGCCCAAGAAGCCTGTACACTCCTGGTAGCGTAGAGTCTTACCCTTTAAGCTCCTAGGCCTGATCAATCCGCTGCTGAATCCAACATGAAATGGTAGACCTAATAGCCGACAGACCCTTCCTAGAACCTTATGGAAGGACAAGAAATTAATCTGACTGCCTTATCACAGAAGATGATTTCAGGGTATCACATCCAATCCAATGTATGAAGAGCCTAGTACCCTGGTGACTCAGGCCTGGGGAAAAAGATGGCAAAACAATGTCCTGATTGAGATGAAAAGACAGTACCACCTTTGGCAAAAAGGATGGAACAGGACAAAGAACCACCTTGTTCTTATGGAGTACTAGAAATGGTTCACTACAGGAAAGGCCCAACAGGTCTGACACTCTCCTAGCCTAGGTGATTGCAACCAGGAAGACAACCTTCCTGTTCAAAAGCACCAAAGGAATATCCTGAACTAGTTCAATAGGAGTTCAATTGGAGTCATGGTGTTCTAAATTGGGGAACCATCTGGGTAACCCCTTGAATGAATGCTCGTACCAATGAATAAGAAGTAATTGGTCTCTGAAAATATACAGCCGATGCTGACATTTTCCACTTAATTGTACTCAAGGCCAGCTTTAAATCTACTTCAGACTGAAGAAAGGACAAAATCTGCCCTAACATACTTACGGAACTGGAATTTCCTAGCCTCACACCAGGCTATATAGGATTTTCAAGTCCTATAGTAAATACACCTAGAGGCCTCCTTCCTGGCCCTAAATGTGGGAAAGACTGCCCTTGACACTCCCCTATCCATAAACACCCTGGCTTCAATAGTCAAGCTGTTAAAGCCAGTGACTGTATAGAAGGGTGGCAGATTGGACCTTGAAGGTCTGGGTGAGTTGGAAGTGTCCAGGGCCTGTCCACCACCAGGTTTATCATATCAGAATACCAAGCCCTCCTGAGACTTCTCATTTCCCTAAGGGAAGCTACCTGCCCTTTCAGGGACACATTTTTCTGGAGGAAGAAAAACCCTTGCCAGAAATGTATGCCCAGATCAGGCCCGAATATTCTAGTCTTTGGGTTGGAAGTAACACAGACTTCCAACGACTGAGAACCCAACCAAACCTCTTCAACGTCTGAACCGTGAGGTTCACATTGTGTTGTAAGCACACGAGCGACTGCTCCCTGATCAGTTTCAGAGAATGGACACCTCCTGGATCCTTAGTAGCCCCAGGACAGGTGGCAAAGTTTTTGTAAAGACCCTTGGGGCAGTGGCCAGACCAAATGGCAAGGCCACAAACTGATAATCCCAGTCTTCTATGGCAAACTGGAGACATTTCTGATGTGGAAATATTGGAACATGCAGATAAGTGTCCTTTATGTCGATGGACGTCATAAAATTTCTTGACTGTAGAACAGCAACCACTGTACTGGCTTCATTAGAAAACTCTTGAAAACTTGTTTCAGTACCCTTCAGGTCTAGAATCTGATGCAAGCTGCCATCTGGCTTGGGTATTTTGAAGAGATTTGAATAAAACCACCAAAATCTCCCTCTGGAACTGGCCTGATCACCTCTGCAATTAAAGCTGACAAAGTGGCTGAAGAAGCAGAGATCTTTTCTGTGGATATGCAGAAACATTTGAACCCATGAAGCATGCATGTTGGTGAACTTTCACATCAGGAGCACCCTTTCACATGGGAGTCACCCTCCCCCCTTTCCCCCCCCCCCCCCCCCCCCCCCCATTTTCCATCAGAGAACCCCTTCAAGTCCGTATCCTACCTTATTAGTATGGCAGTGACTTCATATTAGAGGGCAGGTGCATAAAAAAAAAAAACCTGCATACGGGTGGTTCTGGATCCCGCTCGTCCTAGATCAGCATCATACATTTCCATGGTGTAGACCGGCCTGAAGACTCTGGGAAATCTGGCATGTCACACAAAAAATCAGATGTTTTGATCTGATGGTTGTGCTACCAGAAATTTTTAGGGTGCTATAGCATATCCAAGCACCTCCCCTTCTCCCCCCATCCTGGCACTGTCCCTACATGGTGCCCCCTTCAAGTGGTGCCCAGGCCATGTGCAATAGCATGGATATACCACTGGTTTTTACATCTGTTTGGTTAACCTGCACTATTGGTCATGTAGGACAGTCCCACAGTGCCTCCAATCTAGAGGTTTTTTGAGCCCCTTATAGCCATTATGCCATCTGTAGGTGACTGTTTTAAAAATGTACATGTAAGTGGATAGACAACTACTTCTACATTACGTGTGTGTAATAATAAATAAATATATATATATATATATATATATATATATATATATATATATATATATAAATATGCGCCTGCCTTTACATGCACATGAACGTTAATGGCATCCCAGTCTTATGCAGGCCATAGATGGGTCGAAAATCGGCCGATTTTTCGGCCGAAAATAAAATCGGCCGATTTTCGGATCGTTAGTGGGCTATTTGTTAGGCCGTTTTTCGGTATTTTGGCCGTTTTTTTTTTTAATCGGGAAAGTTGGAAAAAAATCGGCCGATTTTGCCGAGATTTTCGCGGTAATAATGGCCTAATCGGCCGATTTTTTTTTTTTTTTTTTTTTTTTTTTTTTTTTTTTCCGATAAAAAATCTGCGCATGAGCAGTGACCTGCAAGAGGAAGACAAAAAGAAGAGGAGGAGGATGATTAAGAAGAATAGGAGGATGATGATGATGATGATGAAGAAGAGGATGAGAAGAAGAAGAAGATGATGATGAAAAAAGAGGAGGATGATGAAGAAAGAAGAGGATGATGATGAAGTAGAAGAAGAGGATGATGATGAATGAAAGAGGAGAGATGATGATGATGAAGTAGAAGAAGAGGATGATGATGGAGAAGGATGAAAAATAAGAGTAATTCCAGTCCGACAAAAAGTGTCTCTGCAGAGAGCTCCGCTATTTCTTTGACAGTTCCTTGACATTTACAGAGGTTGCAACATTGTATCTATTTTGTTTCCGAATAAAAACATCTGTATCCTAAATGGATACAAATAGATACATTGTTGCAACCTCTGTAAATGTCAAGGAACTGTCAAAGAAATAGCAGAGCTCTCTGCAGGGACACTTTTTGCCGGCTGTAGACTGGATGAAAATCGGCCGTTTTTTTTTTTTTTTTTTTTTTTTTTTACCATTGGTGGTAACGTCGGCCACTTGAACGACCGATTTTTCGTTTTTTTAAAAGAAAAATCGATTTTCGACCCATCTATGGCCTGCATTAGTCCATAGGGTTCAATATTGAGTTGGCCCACCCTTTGCAGCTATAACAGCTTCAACTGTTCTGGGAAGGCTGTCCACAAGGTGTGTGTGTGTGTGTGTGTAATTTTTTTTTTTTTTTTTTTTTTTTTTTTTTTGAGGGGCCAGCCATGTGAGGCTGACTAGAATAAGGACATTCAGGTCCCATTCACACCAAGGTGCCGAGACATCCATTTTTTGCAAGGACACAGCCAAATCAATTGTTCTCTATGTGCCCTGTTCACACCACAACAATGGTATCACTTGCAGATTTTCTGCACAGGAATGTAACTCATTGAAGAAGGCATGAAACGCGACGTCTCTGCAAGTGAAATCTGTGCACCAATTTCCATCAGTTTTTCTACAGGTGTGGTGTGAATGAGGCCTTCATCATCTCCCTAGATCTAAAATTAAACTGTCGAAATGCTGTCCTGTTTCTCAGCTGACTGATGGAAATTTATACTAGTCAAAGAGTATACTTTAATACACATTGGACTCCGTTAACTAAGGCCCAACTCACAGTTCAATTTGGAATAGTTGGTAGAATTGCCATGATTATGCCCATGATTCCAAATTGTGTGGCAGTCGCTAAAAAATGCAGGATGTGTATTTGAGTGGCATTATCCGTTAATGGCACCCCAAATGCAATGCAATTCTGCCCACTATTTTCACATGACAGGGTTGAGCAGCAGTCATGGCAAACCACCCCATTAAAACTCTTGTGATGTTTGTTTCCCAAAAAGGAGCAGGAGCTTCTTTTTTGGGACACAAATGTGCAAAAATGAATAAGCTGGCCCCGTGTGAGACCCGCACTCTTAAAATTGCGTAGCAGGAACACTTGTTCCCGCTACACAATATGTGAAAGGGGCCTAAGAGATCAATAGTCCATTAACTAAAAAAGTGCTATATAGCAAATATGTTTAATATTTGTTTAGCATTTATTTAACACTTAATTTTAGCATTATTTTTGACTTTTTTTTTTTTTTTTTTTGTAATACTGCACCAGAGAGAGAGAGAGAGTTCTGTAAATTAATGCAAACAGAAATATTGTGAAAATATTCTAGTCACTGCGCTCTCATTTACAGAACACTCTCCCTCTGGTGAAATATTACAATTTATTTTCATTCCTGAGCTCAGGCAGAACATTTGCACACTGATGCATTGTATACTTTTCAAGCAGTAGTAGTAAAGTTATGGCATGGGAGCCAATCAGCTTATAACTTCAGCTTGGTCAATTAAGCTTTGGCAAAAAAAATCTGGAAGCCGATTGGTTACTATGCAGAGCTGCAACAGATTTTTGCATGCTCCAATTTTAGTAAATAACCCCCATAATGTGCTAGTATGCATCACGTACTAGCACATTATGAAAGACTTGAAACAAAGCCCTCCTGCAGAGGCTTCCATCTTCACCTGGGCTTCATTCCAGGTTCCCAGGCTGTGGCCTCTTCAATGGCCGAGTCGTGATGATGTCATTCCCGTGCATGAGCATGGGAGTCACGCCCGCTGCACACAGCTCTGAAGGAATGGCATGGGTGTGCTGTTCCTTCAGAGCGCATGCGCTGATAACGTCACTGGCTGCTGTTCACTAGTATATTTCCTAAATGATGCACATTTAAGAGGGATTCATTTTACCTACAGGTAAGCTGAATTATAAGCTTACTCCTAGGTAGAAAATAGTTTACTACCACTTTAACTTACTGGCCAGTGCAAAGTAACCCCCCTTTTTTGTTTTGTGTATTACTAAAATACCAGCTGCTTACACCAGCTAATAACAAATGTGTGTGTTATTTTTAGGCAATGGACTTTAATTAATTGTTTGTTTTTTTTTTTTGGTTCTTTTTTTCAGTATTTACCTCACATTTACTGTGATGAATTTTCTGTTTTATTCTCTCATGCGATATTTCAGAAACGTTAGTTCCCTTCATATTGCATGCGGAATCCTTTAGTGAATTGACTCCATTGTTTGTTTGTCCTCTGCCACTGCACTATCTGACAGCTGCAGCAGAGGGAATGGACTTCAGCTGCACTGAGACTCTGGGCTCGGTGTGCCTCCTCTTGACAGTATGTTTCCAACAGGTACCAGAGTTTGGTTCAAGATCCCCCCAAAAATAAATTTGTCCTGCGGAGGCACAAGGGAATTCAAAGCGCGTCTATGACATTCTTTATTTTCCCCCATTGTCTACATACAAGTGCTTTTATCACCACCTTGAGAATGAGCAATTACTACTTTCCTTATCTACTATTATAAAGCAAGCCATGTATGGGCAAAAGTGTAGATTGTAACAGATGCCAATTTTAGGTTGTTGGTTAAGTTACATTCTGTAAACACTTTTTTTTTTTTTTTTTTTTTTTTTTTTTTTTTTTTTGCGTAGTTATTGATTTGTTGGAAGAATTGGCATGACGAGAACTAATTTGATTTAGAATCTCATGACACAGAGGGTGGAGATACAGATGGTTGTGTGAAATCTTTTTGTTCCATGTTATGATGTGAAATATTTGTGGTTTACATACATCTACATATACCCTCTTTCACACTTTCTCCTCTTGTAGCTTCTAGAATTTGATCTGAAAGGAATACCCCTGGACTACTCCTCGACGTTGGAGGTCATCGTCAAAGACTTTGAAACAATCGGAAAAGACAAGTAGGATATGACTTTATATGTACTGTGCTGTGTGATGTATCTTACAGTGATAGCCCCATCGGTGCACATGAGCCAGTCCTCAGTGATTACGGTTCATTAATCTTTTCTGTGTTAGACTGCTGAAATCTGTCTGCTACGGGTTATTACATATTATTGCTTAAAAGAAAAGAAATGCTCCATTAAAATTGGTTTACTGATGTCTGTGATCCGGAAATGTTTAGGTAGTTGTTGTGCTATGTGAGACAGGCTCTCGGGGTTTACAGGAATTTCAAAGCCTTTTCTATTAGAGCAAAGAACCCTGTGCTAAGGTATTGCATGCAGCTCCCAATGTGCCTGGAATGTGCTGACCTTAATTTAGTTTTTTAAATGTTACTGTTACTTTTAACATTGCTGCTATCTGAAAGCAAAAAAAAAAATGACCCATTGCTACAAAACTCAAGGAATCCCAGCAGGCAGGTAGCCTGTGTTTCTAATGCTAGCGTCTGACTTTTTTTTTCTTTCCTTTGTCCTAATTCCATGGCTTGATTTGGGTTGGTGGTACACAGACCTGCTTATTACCGTAAGACTGTCAGTTCAGATACAGTAATTATCATACAGTTTATAGCCTATAAAATACCCATAGCTTTAGCCTGGAGCATGGGCATTGGTGAACCTTGGCACCCAGGGCACATGCCTTAGGTCTTCTACTGAGTGCCCCAGGTCTCCTTTTGAGATGTATAAATGATACATGCTTTTGGAATGTTGTAAACTTTATCTACTTTTTAACCATCTAGTTTTTTTTGTCCTCATATTGTGACATTAAATTTTCATCTTTAACTGCACAAAAATGAATTGATCTAAAAACTAGTCCTAGATTTGATTCAAGGTGGTCCTTATGTTATACCAGACCCTCAACATTTTAAAGTGGTTGTAAAGGATAAAGGTGAAAAACCTTCTCTGTGCAGCAGCCCCCTTTAATACTCACCTAAGCCCCCTTTAATACTCGCCTAAGCCCCTCTCGATCCAGCAATGTGCACTGGAGTCTTAGCTATCCTAGGACTCAATCTCCTCATTGGCTGAGACAGAAGCAGCAGCCATTGGCTCCCACTGCTGTCAATCACAGCCAGTGAGCCATTGAGAAGAGAGGGGGCGGGGCCAAGCCACGGCTCCATGTGTGAATGGACACGCAGAGCAGCGGCTGGGGAGTGTGCATGCTCAGATGCTCCCATAACAGGCTGTTTGCTTTGGGGGCACCCAACAGGAGGGAGGGTCCAGGAGTGCCGACGGGGCCCGAGAGAGGATCCAGGCTGCTCTGTGCAAAACCACTGCACACAGCAGTTAAGTATAACCTCTTCCTTTTTTTTTTTTTTTTTTTCTTCTTTTCAATTTAAGCCTTTAGAATTACGTTAACCTGTGTACCCAGTGGTAGCGCTGCTCTGTTAGGACCCCATTGACACACAAAGTGTGGCTTTGCCCCATCCCCTGCTCACTGGAAGAGGAGAAAGAGAAGACCTGCAACTGGGCACAGCGCTGACCGATCTAAAAATCAGGTAAGTGTTAGGGAGGGGGCAACACACAGTGGAAGGTTTCTTCAACTTAAAGGTTAAGTTCACCTTTTGTAAAAAATAAATTATTAATGCACATCTTTATTTTTTGTTTTACTAGGAGCTTGCAAAGCATTGCACTGGCGATCAGCATATCGTGGGTGCAATACAGGACTTCTGCAGACTGTTAGTGTAAGCTGCCTGCTTATACCTCATACAAGTAGGCAGTTAAACAATGACAGGTGGAAACCATGAACTACCTAGAGCGCTCAACAGCACCCTGGTAGTTAATTGAGTACTACAAGCCGACAGGCGCAAAGGCTGTCGGCAGTTGTAGTTTATCCATTCACAGAAATCTGTGAATGAATGACATGGCCAGGTGACAGCAAGTTCAGGGATAAGATCCCTGGCTCATGGTCACTAGAGGTGGAGGGTCAGGGAAATACTGGAGCAGTGGGAACATGTTACATGTTCCACTCTAAAAACAGGTGAACCATGTAATTATATTCCTGAAGGTGAATTTATGCTTTAATGCAGAGAATGCATTAAGGTAAAAAAACTTTTAGACTTTAGAACTACTGTAACATGACAAAATAGATCTTTTACTAGGGATTATTTTATTGAACTACTTTTGACAAGAAGAAAAATTGGGACAAAGGGGAGTTGTTGCACAAAATTACCAATTTTGGTAAAAATACAACTAGTAATCTGACTGGTCCCTATGGGCAGCAATGCTGCATCTGGTGTGGGTTGTTTTTTTTTTTTTGGAGTTTATAAGAAGATTTGATAAATCAACATGGTAAAGTAGGAAACTGCTTTCCAAAGGCCTGTCTTTATAGAATATAATAGAAAGCTTATCTTCTGTTTATATAATAATGGCAAACAGAACAGGTGAGGTTATAGTTTCAGTGTATGACCAGGTATAAGCAAACACAGGGTGGAGGTCAGTTACTGCTACTTAATGCTTTTTTTTTTATTTTTTTTAAGAAAGCCCATAAATTCCAGAAATGTGCTAAACTGGACATATGAATCAAATGGCAGCATGTAGAGGGTATTTATTATGTGCTACTTTTTCGGTTTTACAAACCTTTTTTATAGTGCATTATCGTATGCGGCTGTTCTTTCTATACCCCCTTTTTTTTTTTTTTTACCATCTATTTAAGTGAATCCTCTATTCTTATGTTCTCTTTCGCTGCATATGGCTCACTTCTGTGACAGGGAAATTTAATATGGTTTTGAGGATTCTAGGGAGAGCCATTCTAGAGAGGTTGAAATTGTGCCTTGTAGAATAGCACTAGATATTCCTGTCTCATGAGTCATCTATATTTGCATATGCCTATTTGCCTATATAAACGGGACACATTAAAGGGCCCTATGAACCTTACTAATATATGTAACAGCTGGCTGGGAGCAGGTTCTCTTTTAGCAGCTGTGAGGTATAACACATACATACTTGGATCTCCATATTTTGTGCTCCCCAGTTGGCCCAGGGGTGTGGAAATAAAAAAAAAAAAAAAAAATACGTGCCCAAGGACTAAACCAGGGTTCCAATCTACTTTGTCCCCCATGACAATCTGTTAATCCTGATTAAAAAAAAACAAAATTTTTGCCAGTTTGGAAAATATGAAGGGTTGATATTATTATATATATATATATATATTTTTTTATTAGGCAGATGTGCTTTTAGGAATGTCTGGGGCTTTGAAAAACAAAAGGGGCTTTATGGTGACTTAAACTGCTATAACATTTCTAAGAACCCGCAAACATTATATATTTTTTTTTAAAGCACAGGCCCTAGAGAATAAATTGGTGGGTTTTGCTTTTTTTAATGTAACATGGTATGTGCGTGGCAGTTTTTCAAATGCAATTTTTTGGGAAAAAATTTTTAAAAAAAATTTTTTAATGCAAAAAAAAACAATACTAAACCCAGTTTAGTTGGATACCAAACATGTCATGCTTTAAAATTGTGCTCAGGCTCATGCAGTGGCAACAAACTATGTAAATCCTTACTATCCTTAGGTGACTCTTTGAAAGTCTTTACAGATTACCGCCTTAGATTTACAGAGGGGGTCTGGTGCTAGAATTACTGCACATGAGCTGAAATTATCGGTGATGCATCATGTGTGGACCGAATGCTGTTTGCATGTGTGCAGGACTGACGTATGCGTTCGCCTTTGCGTACGGGGATGGGGGTGCTTTAAAAACATTTTTTAAATTATTTTTACACTGTTGCTTTAATTTTTTTTTTTTCTTTTTTTGATCACTTTTATTGCTGTCACGAGGAATATACACATCCCTTTTGACAGCAACAGGCAGTGGCAGGTGATCTTTATCAAGAGATCTGGGTTCCGTAAGACCCCAGATCCCTCCTTTTTGCCCTTTTAAAAACATTTGATCGCACAAAATTAGTGTGATCAAATGCTTTCCCTCTTTAAAAATGGCTCCATTTACATACAGAGAAAGCGGAAGTGATTTATGCTAATCACTTCCTGTTTCCTATATCGGAGCGGAAGCACCAAATGGTCGATGGGGTGTCCTGGTGCGACAGAACAGCTCGTGGAGGGGGGGGGGTGTCCTCTCCCGCTGCTTGTAAAAGCAATCCGGTGGGTAGTTAGGCGCTTGGATTCCTTTTACAAGAGAGCCGACTGTCTGCTCTAATTCCTGCTGCATACCCGCAGCAGGGCTAAATATAAGGAAAAACCTCTTGCCCGGTGCCCAAAACTGAATGTCCTGGGCATCGGGCTATAGGAATTACACATCCCTGAGGAGATAAATAGATCAAAATTAGGTAGGTTCAGAAGGGACCGGACAAATTTCGATCCATGTGTGATCGCTGCAGTTGAGGTCAATCTACCTATTGATTGACTTCTGTTCAACTGCCCTGTCGGATAAAAGCCACTCGATCAGCAGCTGCAGCACTGATTTGTGTATTCTGAGTGGAAGAGACTCTCTGCAGTCAGAATACAAGAGCGCAGTGGGGAGGATTCCCCTATCCACCTTTTGAATGTGTGACTGAGAGGTGGATTTGTTACGTTTGTTACGTTTTTTTTTTTTTTTTTTTTTTTTTTTTTTTATTTTTTGTTAATGTATGGCCAGCTTTATAAATACACGCAGGCTTGCAATCCGTGTTATCTGTAGATAATGCGATTGTTAGAAACGGGAAGAACTACAGATTGTGACATTATAATAAGGGTTGGGGAGAGGAAAGTGCCCGGGTAGTATACAGAGTAGAAGAAAGAGCTCCCAGGTAGTATAGGGGTAGAGGTGCACAGAGCGTGGACCACAATATTTAGTGCAGAAAAGCAATAGACTAGGAGAGGGAAGTAAACCAGAGGGGAGGGAGTAAGGATGGGCTGAGAAGAAAGGGGAGTCTTATCGAGGGGGATGGGGGTGTTGAATGGGTTATTCTGGTTATAGGGAGGAGTCTAGCTATACTATTATGGCTCCAGCAGCATGGCGGAGAATATGAGATGAGCT